AAGAGTAAGGAAAGTGAAAATTTTATTTAATTTGTTCATCTGTTGTATCCATGTTTTAGCAACTTGTGTGCTTTGCGGTTCCCTTGAATGAATTTTACTGACTAACTGAGTGATTGACTGGCTGACTAGTGGCTGACTGACTGACTTAGTAGAGGCACTGCTCAAGATAGTGCTACAATAGTCATAATGGGAATTTAGAAATTGGTAACCGGAGAAGTATTGCTGACTGAGGAAACGGTATTGTAAAGGAAAGAAGACTTTTAAATATCATTAAAATTCCATAATGGAATTCAGCGGGACATTTCATTAATGATCGCTTTCGCCAGTGTAGCAATGCGGTCACAAATGAACACATCTATAGGATTTACGTAACCATCTGTTCGAGAACTACAGCTCGCCGTATTCCGGAATGGACCTGCCCGCGCTGTCGATTCAGCGTGGACGCGACCATGGCATTCCTGGTTACAACAGCTACCGTGAATACTGTGGATTCGGCAGAGCGGCAACCTTCGAAAATCTCACGGATCTCATGAATTTCGACGCAATGCAGAAGTTGAAGAAAGTGTATAGGTATGCTAACAGAGAATAATCCTTATTTCTCTATTTTCTAAGTTACTGTATTATATATAAGCGTATAGATGCAAAACTATATAGACTCAGCATGCTGTATTATATGAAGGCTGGCAGAAAAAAACTGAAACGATCGAAATAAATGATTTAAAATCAATATTTGGAAAAACTCGAACAACCTGCTATCTTGTACTCTCGTAAAATACAGATTAGGATACGAACTTAAAGGTGCCGCTGGCTACAAACGACGCATTTTAGATTGTAGGGCCATTACCAGCGAAAGAAAGATAGCGGCCTTGCTTAGCGAATGCTGAACATAATGCCTGATGGTGCGCAATCTACAGAAAGATGACAAGGTCTTCAAGAAACTGACATGGCATGGGATGGACCGAGGGTTAACTGCGTATTTATTCGATCCATATGAAACGCCTGTACGGCACTCAACTTTTTCTTCCATGCAATCGAAAGAGAAAAAAATAGATCAAAGCTTAAATTTCTACCTTTTCAACAAGATAATGCTTGTCTCCTGTTTTACACTGATTCTGCGGTAGTATAGGACTGATGGTAGCAATTACACCGAGTTAAACCACAACATTGCCCTGCTTCTGACTGACTTCTCATCGCCTGAGGGCCACCATTTAAGCAAGCCATGGCTCCATGTTATTTAAGCGGCTGCTGTGATATTGTTTTTTAAGTAATGCTTCATGAACAAGGATCTAGCTCGATCCGAACTGTTGGGATTATGTCAAATAAAATTATTTCCGTTGCAAAATTTGTTATATCATATCTCGGTTCAAAATTCAGCGAAAGTCATTAATTAAGCATGAGTACTCGTGAATATTGCAATAAAGTGCTAAAGTTTCAGTGACGTTGAAGACATCGACCTGTTCCCAGCCATTTTGTCTGAACGTCCCATGCCTGGAGCAATGATTGGTCCCACCGCCTGCTGTCTCATTGGCGAACAGTTTCAACGTCTACGGAACTGCGATCGGTTCTGGTACGAGAACAAGCAACAAGAAAATCGCTTTTCACCGAGTGAGTATACAGCCTATTATTTGCATTATATGAAATATGATTTTCTAACCTGCAATCTTTCCTCCTTACGAACAGTGACTAAAGTAGGAACTGCATCTCAGGGCGCAATATCATTGGATCTGCTGTGGCCGTCATAACAGCGGGAAGATGAAACAGTTCTAGGTTATAACCAAAAGTAACGTTTGGACAAAATGCGGTAAAATGTAGTACAGATTTTCTGAGGTACCTATAAAGAATAGCAGCTGTCCACCTCCTCCAGTAAATAGTGCATTTTCAATTACAGATGCCGTGTTTGCCGGACGGAAACGTACCATCACCTTGCTTCGGATCGCTTACAGAGATCCTATAAGCAAGTGATGACGCCACGGTTTTTAATAGTAGTAGGAAATTTTGTTCCGGCTCGAACATGCCTTTATTCAGTCCAATTAAGAGATGCGGTTTTGCAACCGACCCACTGCTTAGACACCATGGAGTATTTACCCGCTGAAATAGTCTCCCTACGCGTATAGAATGTAGGACGGTACGTTTCATCCTCAGTAAATCCTCCATCAGCAATTGAAATGTAAAAAATGAGATTCTTACCATTTAACACAAGCTTGTCAGGACAAGGATATTTTTAAGGCAGACTTGACCGATTGATTGTGAATGCGACTTTTTTATTGTTAAGTGAAGAAGAACTAAAATTTAGCAATAATCAACCCAACGCTTCAGATGGCTGAATTATGCCCAGCTTGAGTAATAGTTTATAATACTTTCTGGGTAAAGTAAAATCTCACAAACATGAAATCATTGCAATTTAAATCATTTTACTTTTCGAACCACTGTAAGACAAATTTTATGTCTTATCATCATGTTACTGCTATTCGTTAAGACTTTCAACATTTCAGGGCAACTTGCGGAGATCAGGAAAGTAACCTTCGCAAGAATAATTTGCTCGAACGTTGAAGGAATACGAAGAATTCAGCCAGATGTGTTTGCTCTGCCCAACGATAACATGTAGCCGTTGCAGAAGTCATGTTCGACAATAAAATAACGTTGTAATGTTCAGGAATAGCGCCGTGAATTGTAACAGTATTGAAGACATGGACCTGACGTACTGGACCGAAGCGGGTAATCGATAAATTGGTGCAAAGCACGCGCAAGTAGTAACGTACTAATATTTCGTACAGGCTCGTGTACAATGAATGGCGTTTCGTTTCCGTTGGGTCACACGCGGCGCATCACTCCCTGCGTTTCTTGTACCTGTACCAGCTACGGGGTACAAAGTTTCTATGACAAGTCGTTACTTTCTCGTCCGCTTCTACAAGTTGTTCTTTAGCCCGAATGCCAAGCAATTCGTGTCGTGGATTGTCGTTCTTTGCTCAGCGATTACGAGCTTTCGGATATATTGTTGGACGCTGCTTGTTCAATTCAGTGCTCTCATGCGCTTAGAAGCAAACAGTCGCTGCCCTAGAACAGTATTTTCATACGTTTTAAGTCGAATGTATCATCAGGTTTGATAAATTGCACTTTAAAATGATTAATAGTGTTTTGTGACGGTTGCAAAACATTCTTGAATTCTGGTGCTTTATGTCATCGTCAGAGGCTGTGCACAAAGAACTGCAGGCTTTAACTTTATGGAACAATGCTTAAAGGCGGGAATGGAGATACAGTTCGTGTTTCTTGACGGAAATACTTTGCAGTGGCTGCAAGTCATCCTGAAAGATGACTTTCTACATTCGGTCTTCGCCTGTCTGTAGAACAGTAAGTTCATTGGTTTGGATTCCATAGAAGAATGTAATGTACCAGCAACGTTGTTACGCATTTGCTCATCGTTTCCTCAAACCGCGAGATTCGTATTCCTGCAACGTGTACGCGCCGTCTCGTGATTTTGCTGCAGATATCGTCTGCAGATTTCCTCTACAAATTCTTTACTCATTCACAGTAGTGCAGGACGCCTTGTTGGATGGTATTTAGATGGTTTCTGAACAGCTTTCAGCAAGGTGACACTCTCTATACTGTGTAACAATATGGGAAGGATTGAACACGTAAAGGTCCTGACTCTCATCCTCAGGCTGATTAGCCTGCTATACAAAAGTTTCGCTGAAGGACATCTGTTGAGCCTGGGAGTCTAGAGCAGCAAACGATTTCCAGCGATTGAAGGACCTCTAGCTAGTGGTCCCTGGTCACTTTTTGTTTTCACTGGGTTGCCATTAAAATATGCGCTCTTTTTGTCAATGTCATAGCTCATTTCCTTTGTCGCTTAGCGAAATAACGTCGTCTGCTTAGTCATCGTCGAGGAGAAATAGGGCAGGGTCCCTTCAAGTTTACGTGGATTAAAATTTTATTTAGCGGGCCATATTTTTCATCAACCACAGATGACACCATCAACGAACGATGGAGAAATAAGAAACAACCATACCTTACTTATCACTGCTTATGGTTTCGAACCAGCACGATGTCGCGCCTTCTGCTTGCAAGCCACATTTTTGTTGTTGCCCATTAACCGTAACCTTGTTGACCGTCACCTAGCATAAGCAGAACTTCTTTGGTTTATGATGACCGTGGATTCACAGCTTTTTAGAACGTTTGCTATAAGACACGGGTTACTGCATCGTAGAAAGTAACATACCTGTCGTCCATACTACACGATGGTCTCCTGATCGACGTCTGGCGTTTTTCAGCTTTCATGCGACAAGCTCACGGATTGAAGTAAATGGTGTACACTCAACCCGTTTACCTAACAGGATCAAACTCTGTTTTTTGATCTCCCATCCAGCAAGGTTACCTGTGCCCGGAAGCGGTTAGAGTAATTCCTTACGTGGTCCTGCCATAGCCCCTATTATGCGTCGAAGTTAGCGTTGCTTCATGCAGTTCAACAGTCTTTCTTGCTCCTTTGTTATGACAACTGTCTCTATGCCGAACTGCACCGCGCATCCCTGGCTTTGATAAAGCTTCTGTGTGTTGTCTATAATGCCGCTTAAGGTCATCATCTGTAATACGATAGATTTTAAACTCCGGTAATGAATATTGAAGGTACTCTTTTCGGCTTATGTGTTTCAAATAGCTTAGGAAAACCTCGCGTCTAGAGGTTTTATTTTTGATATTTCTATTCTTTTATGTGCATGTTTATGAGCGCGCAAGCAACAAGGCGAATGCTTTTTCGTCTGATGTGGTCATGCCAAAGGTTGTGGGAATTATGGCATGACCATGCAGTCTGATGTGTGCCCCTTACGGTTCCAATTCGCTATCGATCGAAGTGCTAGCTGAATGGAAATCAGCGCAATGTGTAAACCGTGAATAGACAAAGACTACGCAGTCTCGCAGCAGCCACCATTGCCTGTGATCTCCTGGTTCCTTCTTAAACCATATAGTGTTCGTTTGATATACTCCATAAGCGTAAACATGTTGGAAATGTGAGTGGTTCTACAGCAGACTCGATCTCGAATCTTTTGACCTTCAGTGCAAGGCTAGATCATCAGTAATACATGTCGTAACAGGAGCAAATGGCAGGCGGTGAGGACCGTTTACACTTGATGAGCGTACTCAATGTGTGATTTGTTTGTAAATGCTTTCACTTTGATCATCGGTCAGTAAAAGCTTTGAAACGTTGCTTCAAATGATGCTAAAACATCACTATATCACTGGTGGAATCTGATTTGATATTTTTAGTCGCGCAGGGTAATAATTATTCGTTGGTGTATTTCTGACTTCGTTTTGACCTGCACCTGACAAAGCGTACGGAAATGCAAGAAATGTACAAAATTGCTGTTTAGTCCTCAAACACTATTTGGCGCTGTCTCGTGACTAACATGTCTATTGGTTGGTAAT